AGCTATTTGAATTTATCTTTCATGTGATTTATTGATTCTAAACTTCAAATATCAATTGAAAGGTAGAGTCAGTGTGTTTTGACGTAATGGAACTTAATGAGGATTTCTGGATGTATCATTATAGTTGAACAGACATACAAAGTTAAGCTGTTAGAGTCCAGTAATCTTTACCTTAGTAGTCTTTAGTGAGTTCTTGTAAACGCATGTTAAATTGCTCTTTATGATTATAAATTTCGAACAAGAAGGGAAAATAAATAAACAAGCGTTATCGATACAAATACACAAGTAGATAAAGCCCGTAGGTTTGATCTCGTGCACAGCATCTGTAGTTTATGATGTAAGTCACGTGACAGCTGTTATTAGAATAATCTGCACCCTAGCGCAGCTGACATGGCGACTACACCTCCTCATCTCAGGTACGCTTTGTCCTGGCGTGAGAACTTGCAACCGACGCTTATGTGTTAGCCAGAACTATGAGTGGATAGTATTAAACATCAGCTTTGTACGGATAGGTCTGCCGTTACCTGACTTCGAATATGTTGTTACACAAAGAAAAGAAGCACATAATTTTTTCCTATACCATTCTAATGGCAAAAATAAAACAGTTTTTGACAAAAAAAATATTACATGTACATTATATCACTTCTCTCTCTTTTTTTTATGAACAAACATTTTGAATGATAATGAATGAGAATTAATTCGGGATTTAATCGCAATTAATAGATAAAGCCTTTAAGTAAACTCAAATTGTACACTTACCATTGTTTAGCAGGTGTGAATATGGCTAAGACACAGATCAGTTTCTTTGGGAAAAAGAAGAAGAAAGGAATAGAACTTAGAATGATAAGTTCAGACATCGTTTTTACATTTGTTCATGAATGCTGGAGCAGATGATTAATACATTTTGTGTTTATGATGTTATTTTTGTCATTAAAGTGTCTAGCACAAGGTCAGTTTTAACATAACCTATGCTGACTGTTAAACTTGGCTAGTTTCGGTAACTGAGTGACGTGACTGAACGAAAAAAAAAAATCGAGGTTGAAACAGACGGGGACGTGCCTGTTGCCATGGTTACTGTGAAACACGAACACGTATCATCTACCTATAAGTTTTTTTCTTCTCCCGCCTGCCTCCTCGTTAGCCGACTTTTGGGATATCTCTGTCTGTGCGCAAATAATCGCAAAGCATAAGAAACCAGAGTTTTCACTTCTACCCCCACTCCTCTCCCCTTCCTTCTCGGACTCGGGGAGCTTGCCCGCTTGAACTCGTTGAAACTCAAGGCCACAATCTGGCATGCCTCCCGATCAGGTCTTTCAACCCATCTGTGAAGCTTGGTGTGCGAAGGATATTGCATGTAAGCTGCCGTGGGTTACATGGGAGGACGAAAATATTTGAGCCGCATTCCGAGGAGAAATTATTTTAGGCTAATAAAAGTTATTAAGGAAATATATGTAATGTCGCGTAGTGAAAGAAATTTGTGTTAGAAAAATAATATATTTTCTAATAGAGCATTGTTTAAGTTGTGGGGATTAAAATGATCTTCAAGAATGTAATATCGTCTACATTCTTAGAAACATTGAAAACTGTTAAAATGAGCTCTGTCTCAAGCAAGAGAGAGGATTGAAAGATAAATGACTGTTTTGTTTAAAAGAATTAGTGGTGTGGGCTGGCCTAGTTTAATTGATAAGTAGTTGTACTTTAAGTTTGGTGTAGTAAGATAATTTCATCTAAGCTAAGATATCCATGCTTGAGAATAAAGTTAATTTTAGCTAATGCCATTACTAATTCATAAATATAAGGCTTAATAACTTTTAGTATGGATTACGGTAAAGCATTTGTAATAGCAAAATTAAAATTTATGTAAGTTTTCAATAATTCTTATTAATATATTTATCACTTTTGTGTAGTATTTCAAAGAAAGCAAAACAAAACTGCTTTAAAATGAGTGGTAGTGTGTTCTGTTTATATAGAATGCTTGAATAGTTTTGAAATGTATATCACTAAACACCCATGATAATGTATGAAAAGGGCCTCACTGTTTGCTATTTGGAAGCTTCAAGATTTCACGATAAAAGCAGCTGACTTTTTAATCAATGAAAATGCAGTTAAATGTTCATAGTTAAACAGGAAAATATATGTTAATAAATTGAAATACAAGAGTGTGTGTGTGTGTGTTAAAGTCTGAGTAGTTTGTATTAAAATACGTTGTTGAGATATTAAATGATGACTACTGATGGATTACTCTCCACTAGCATATATATAGTTTCTTGAATCGTGTAAGCAAGAAACATTCCATTGAAATATGAAATCCTTTAATACTATGAACTAAAGTATAACTTTATTTGCACCAGTTAAAGTGATTACTTTTTTCACTTTCCCCCTTTTTGAAACATCTAGTCTTTGCATTTAGAGTTGTGATTTATCCAGTTGTTCTGTTGTGAAGGATGTTTGATTTGTGTGTGCAGTTTCTAACTTTGTTTACAGTTTGTACAATAAGTAACTGAATGATTTTTACAACCACATCCACAATGTAGTGGATAGTGTCAGTATGAAGTTGTTTTCAAGGTAATCACTCCAACTGGTGTTCTTACTTAAGGCCTTTTTTCAAAAGGCTATATAAGATCTAAGAAACTTGCTTTTAGATTTCTAGGAAGACTGAATTACTGTAGATAGCCAGATAAAGTTCTACCAGTGAAGCTTTTAGAGCAGTAGAGCTCTACTCTGTTAATTGAGACAACATACTGCTTCCACTGAGAATTTACTTTTTACAGCATGTTATAAAACCATAAAATAAGAAGGTGGTCTTTTTTTTATTACAGTAGGCTTGAATACTCAGAAGAGTGGTCAGTGTTAGTTAAGAGGAGGGTTAGGTCATATAGTAGATGAGATCTAAATGAAAGAGATACAGTGCTGAAATTTAGACAGAACATAATGTTTAGGGACAAAAAGGGACCTATTGATCCACCTAGACTGTCCCATCCTGTAAACTAAAACTGTTAAATAAAATAAAAAATGAAAACCCTAAAGCCAGCCCTTATCATTCATATAGATATCAAGCTTTCTCTGAAACTCACTTAAATTTACTGCCTCCACAACATCAGAAGGCAACCCATTCAATAGACCAACCACCCTGTTAAAAAAATAAAACTGTATTAGCTGAAGATGACTCCTATTTTGCTAAAATTTATATTTGTGTCTCTTAGTCCTACTGTTCTCACTGTTAAGTAAGAAAAAATATGATGCATCAACACTATCAATTCTCTTAAACTCTTCAATCACATCCCCTCTAACTCTTTGTTTTTTTAGAGAAAACAACTCCAGAGATCTTAAATTGAAATACAAGTGAGTGTTAAAATCTGAGTTGTCTGTAGTAAAATATGTTGTTGAGATATTAAATGATGACTACTGATGGATTATTCTCCACTAGCATGACAGCCCTTCCATCCCAGACACCATTTTAGTACCCTTTCTAACAATTCAAAGTCCTTCCTAAGGTAAGAAGTCCAAGACTGAACACAATACTCCAAATGTGGCCTATAAAATGAAATTATAATCTCTTTAGACTATTTGCCCTACCACTTGGATGGCTTAAGAAACCGATCAACCACTACACCAAGATCCCATTCTTTCATAACACTCTTAAGGTTATTCCTATCCGAATTATTCATATAACTCAAATTATGATAACCCATGTGCATTATTTTGCATTTATTATAATTAAAACCCATCTGCAATTTATTCGCCCAACTCATTAAATGATTTAAATCCTTTTATAAAGCAGCAGCCTTCTCATCACAGCCAGCAACACCCAAGACCTTAATATCATCAGCAAAATTTAAGTAATTTATTGACCATTCCTTCATCTATGTCAATGACGTAAATAAAAAAAGTAAAGGTCTTAAGACTGAGCCCTGAGGTACCCCACTTGTGATGTTAATCCAGTTTGACTGAAATCCATTTATAACAACCCTCTACTTTCTTCCATCCAATTAGCTAACTTCTCCCCCACATCCATAGAGATAATTTTTTTACAAGCCTTTTGTGTGGCATCTTGTCAAATGCTTTCTGAAAATCTAGATACAGTAAATCAACATCCTTACCCTCATATATATATAAGCAGTAACCTTTTCAAAGAATGTCAAAAGATTTGTAATGCAAGACTTTTCCTTAGTGAAACCATGTTGACTAACCAATAAAATTCTAAACGTTGTCAAATGACTTTGCAAAGCATTTTTTATCAGACTTTCCAAAACTTTTCCCACAACTGATGTAAGACACATGAGCCTATAATTATTGGGACAATTTTTATCACCTCCATTAAAAAGAGGAGTGACATTAGCACTGTAAAGTTTCTCATTAATTTCATCAGTATAATCTAGTGGTCTATAACAAGTTCCCACTAAAAGCTGTTTTTTATATCTACTAATAGAAACCCAAATGGATTCGATCTTCATGCTGTTAACTTTGATATCCTCAACTTCCACAGAATGTAACTCACATCTTACATATAAAGCCTTTCCTCTACCTCTCTTTAGTACATTATCCATATTAAATAACCTATAACCTTATATTTCAGAGAAATTTCTGTCAGACATACAGTACATTTTGCATAGTTTCCTTTACCTCTAATTGAAAAAAAATGCTGTGAGTTGATGGTTTACAAGTGCTGTTTTGTGGCCATATGTACAGTTAGTTATTTACTGCTTATTAAAATAATATTAGGTCTGCAGTTCTTTTAAAAAGATGGCCAATCTTTGTTACTATGTGTATGATTAACCAATTATAATACCTCTTTGTGGTCCCCTGCCAAAAGTAATAATTTATTCTGGTTCTTGCAACTCAGTGAACAACTTGTTGGATTTTTATTCAAGTTCGGTTTTGATAATACTTTTAGGAAAGATGATGTGCTATGTTTTATAAATTAAGAAAGTGTGATAATTAGTTTTAATGCCAGATCATTTTAACTTATTTTGAACTGATTTTTATGTTGTTTTATTTAGGTGGGTTTGTGAGGATTTCCCAGAACTGAAGTCAGTTATAAAAAACCATGTACTGAATAATTGTGATACAAGGAGGTGAGATAAATCCCACATTAATTTCTTTAAAAAAGTATAAATGGGACAACATTGGATAAAAATAAAGCTTAAATATAGTTCTAGTGACTTATATATAGTTTGACAAAATAATGATTACTTAAACATTTTTGTACTTGCTTTGTTTATGACATGATTGCAGCTGCTGTAGAAAGTAGCAGTTGTTTATTTCTGACACTTAGTGTTAAAAATAAAAGCTAATTATGCATGAAGCTACACATAAGAACAACCTACAGCACCTAGAAGTTGTAATGCTCAAAACAACTTGAAAATTCAACATTTTTGTTGGATTAAATGAGAACACAACTTTATTGAGAAGGATAATATTGATGAGTGGATGAAATAGTTGAATGACTTGGTAACAGCTGCTTAGGACTTGTACTTTCTGGTAATAGTAAAATTTAATGTTTACTGGTTCTTGTGTGGAATTGAGCATGAATAAGAATTTCTTCTTTGCAATATCAAATTTTATTTCTTGTTTTTGGTAAACATATTTATTTTTTAAACAGTTATAAAATCAGCATAAGCAATCGTGCATGGTTTTGAAAATATAATTTTAAAGGTGAATAAATTCTACTGTGTGGAAAGGTTCATGTCTTTGATACACTATTGGACAGTATTCAATATTCAGTATATTATCATAATAGCGGTGCTATGCCTAGTGTAAAAGGTATAGTATTTATGTAGGTACTTCATTCAACCCTTTTTTTTTAATAGGTAGTTCTTTGGAAATTTTTCAAGTTTAAAATTTAAATTCTAAATCCTAAAAACACTTCTCTCTTAATTCATGTACTTGCATAAAGTAATTTGTAAGTTTGTAGAATATAATTGTAATTATAACTATATGCTAGTCTAAAGCTGAATAATTATACAATTAAATTTATTATTTCATACTTTAGACAGCTTTTGATGTGTTTTTGTTTCCTTCTAATGTTCTAAAGAAATCCACTGTTATTGTGCTAGTGTGGTGCTTAGGTGGAGTATACTTGATTTAAGAATGTTTAAATCTAGACTAGTTGTCACATCATGTTTATATGTTAAATTAATAGCCAACCAGAAAGTTGGTATTGACTGTTGTACAGTGCTAAACAATAACTGTGGAGAAATGTTAAGGATCAATTTTTCAGTTCTGACCTTTGCATGGACATGGACATCATCCATGTTAATTTTTGAAAGGATTCATGAAAAATTAAATTAATCCAAAGTGTTTTTAATTTTTATTATTGTGCAAAAGTAGTTATTTATTAGAGTTTCATTCTCTTTATATTATTATTTATTTTCAGCTATAAAGGCATGAAAAACCTTTGTGATTTGTACAATCATGCTATTGATGGTGTGTTACACATGGTGAGTGATTGTGTTCAGCATTTTCATAATGAGGTTTGTTTAATTTGGTGTAAACATGTCTTATTACAACAGCTTATATTATTTGTGAATAATAGTAATCTTTGCTGTTTATAAAAGGAGGATATTGAGAAAATTTTACCAAAAATAATAATCTGGATTAAAAATATTTATTGTGTATTGCATAAAGCATTGATAATATGTTTGTAATTGGCATTAATGAAATACTAATATACATACAAAAAAAGAAATAATTTATCTGTTATCCTGGAAATAGTGTGTGTGTGTGTGTACATATGCATACATACCAAATATCAAAATAGCTTTAAACATAGGTGTAAAGATGTGGTAATGCAGTAATACCTATTGAAACCATTATTTGTTGGAAGGTATTGTTAGAAAGTCATATAACTATTGGTGATACAACTATTCACTGTATTATTAAGCAGCTTCTTCCTTACATTTGGTTCTTTAAAATATAATGTAAGGAAGAAGCTGCTTACATTATATTTTAAAGAACCAAAT